TTTCGGTTTAAATAATTTATACCCATTATTTAGGATGTATTTTGCTTACATATATCAGCTGGAAAAAAAAAGAGAAACTATTGCCAAACACTATTTTTTCTGAAAAACGCCATTTTTTTAAAATGGCTTTACAACCATTTTCAGGAAAAACACCATTTTTTTTTATAACTGCGTGCCGAACAGGGCCTTATTATTTCTTTCTTTTTTTTTTTTCGGAATATACTCAAGTAGGTATTCCATTTTCAACTTTTATCGCAAATATTCCTACTTTTTTGGGCTTGCCGAACAGGACCTAGAAGTAAAAAAGCTCAGTCACACCGCCGGTGAGGTGGGTAAAGATACCATGGTAACAAAAAATTAAAAAATTTTAACCTACCAAATGTGCGGCAATACAATGCTTCCGTACGGTATAGAATGGTGAATAGGCAGGCATAGTCTATAGCTTAAGAAAGTATCTATCAGAACACAGTTCGGGCAATATCATATGATAAGAAAAACTAAAAAATATCATACTTTCGCCCAAAGGCCTTTTGTTATCATAATAATAATATTATTATCATAGAAAAATATAGATTTCTAAAATTAATAAGAAAATCTGGGAGACTGCTCGTGGCATGTTAGGGCATCACCCGATAATAGAAGCCAGCTAAGCGGCATTCCTCTGCGATATCCCATGGTAGAGTACTCTATTGTGACCGGAGGAGGTGTCGGTGGAGTGGCCGGGCTTCTTCCCATGCCTCCGGGGAATAGTAGCAACACGGTGTTCACGGGACATTTTGGGGATCGCCCAAAGCTGCTCTGATCTCTGCCTCCTACTTAGATCATCACTGCACAAAAAAAAAACCACCACTCAACCCCCTACTTGTAATGACGGCACTGTATTACCACCCTAAGAATTTCCCCCCATCACACAGTACGTACTGTGTCCCGACTCGAAAAGCTCAGAGTTGGCCACAAAGTAACATTAGCAACCTAAGATCATGGCTTGTCACTCAGACTACTCAGTCACTACTAACAACTAAGACTAACAACTAAGGGCACGCGGGGGTGTTTATCAACGTCAATACTAATGAGAGACCCCCCTCCGCAAATGACATGGAGAGTCTTCAACCACTCAAATACTGTTCATTCGTTGCCCAAACAAGAATAATCATGCTATTCGCGCGGGCCGCTGTAAATTCTTGTTTCTACTTTTACTTCTAAACTATTGTAAAGATTACGTAAAGTGCCGTAAGGTACCTGATGGAGAACTCTCATAAAGTATCATCTGCTACCAATCATTTTCCTTTGCTGCGTATCGTACCCTCCTCTCATGGTGGGATCCCCCACCCCCTAATACAGGTATTGCGGCTGAATTCCACCAGCCTACTTTCGACCAGGATAAACACTGTTTTGTGGTACAGTAACAGAGAGTTTTGAAGATAATTGGTTACCCCAGCGATCGTATTTTCTTTCGGCCTTGATTTCTGTGCTCATCTTTCAAGGCACCTGGTTGGCTTCTGGCCAACCACGCGAATTGAGATAAACAATGCTCCAGGTTATCTGCAAGCCCTGTTGGTTGCAAATATTGTTACTTTGATACCGGCACCGGTGTGAAAAGGTAGTCATGGATTGTGAGGTATCAGAGCAATAAAAGACCAAATGGCGCTATCATAGAGTAATATCCTCCACTAAAAGGCTTACGAGGACCGGTAGTAGGCTGTTTGTAGAAGGGGAAGGTAAGGGTGCTTAACATCTAGTAACATAGTTATCTTGGGCATGGGCTCAAGGTGGAGCAGGTCCAGTCACTGATCGCAAGCCTGCTTATGGATGATACGATAGGCGAATAATGGCGAATAATGAACCATGCACGGTATCACTGTTTCGGTCATGCTCGTACTCGAGTATAGCAAACAAAATTATTGCTCATGCAGGCGGTTGTAAATTAGCATCCCCAACAATGAATTCACTTCAAGCCCATGGTACAGAGCTGGCCAATCTGGGGATTCCACCGCTAAGAAAGGCGAAACACGTGCATCCCACACCAGGGTTGCAGGTTGTCGGCGCAACAAGACACACTATTGTTGAACCCTGCTATGAGTAAACAAACCCCATAAAGCGAGCAGGGAAAAATCAATTCCTCGACACATCCACCCCTCATCCAGAACGACAAACTGAGCTTGCCCTTACCTCACTTCGCGGCTCTTCATCTTGCAGGTTCTTGACATTCCCCACTTCCAGTCCCCCATTCTACAATTTTTCTCCTGTTCCATTCCTTTGAAGGAATACCTTTGTCATAATTGTGAAAGTTAACGTCACAACCCAAAATTGTCAAATAATAAAGCCTGAAATCACCTGTGGAGGGACTCAAGGTGTTTAGTAGCGGTAAGTCCCTAGAACCCAATAACTGACCTGCAGGAAATAGAAAATTCTGTCTGAATACGAACAACCTCTACTGCTCCTCGCATGGGCACGCTCCCTAATCGCCCTTTCTTAATCCGCTCGCTTCGATAACAATCAAGCTGTCACTGGTTTTGCCAGGCTGTCTGCCTGCCTGCCACGTCGCTTTGATACGAAGAACCGAAATCCGGTTTCCAGTTATAATCCAATAACCTGAAATTCGATTGTATTTCGCCTTTCATAGTGCTTCAAACTCGTTTATCGCCCGGCGCACCCCGTGTGGTGAGTGCCATCTCTGGTAGCACGATACAACTCAAATTTAGTTTCCCTGGGATCTCTACGCAACCAGTTGCAGCTCTATAAACAGCGGGAGGGCAGTGCTCGGCCAAAGCGCTGCTCTCAGAAGAGTTTTTATTTCTTGAAGTTTTGCTCTATTGGATGGTTGGAGGTTTCAATTAAATCATCGACTTTATCATTGGGATCAAAAATTCTATAAACTCCCGCTTCCGCTGGTGGGGAAGAAGCAACATTCACTACGCTCTCAGGAAAAGGGAGAAAATAGCTTTTTTTTCTTCAATGTAGGAGCTTTTTCTTTGAATCTTTGCATTTTTGCCACCCCGGACACATCTAACACTTGCATTACGCCCGACCTAGAAATCACAATGGTGATCAAAACCCCGCCTACAACACCTCGCAAATCCACTGACCCTGATGATAACATCCCCTGCAAAACACCCTCTCCACGCTCATCTGCATCCCAGGCGCCTCCGAACCCCCGGGCCGTGGATGATGAACCCACTCCACGAGTCAATCCTCATGCCTCGGTGTCGTCCCACCCTTTTAAAGGCCTTTCTCGAAAGTTTATGCCTAAGAAAGCGACAAGTGGAGGGGACGACCTTGATGATCGGATGCACAAGCGGTTAAAGGAAGGTACAGAAAGGGCAAGGAAGCTAGATCTAGGGCCAGCACAAGGTGTCTACGATACCGTCAGTGTACGGGAACGAGTGAGGAGGTGGCAGGCTGCTGGCGGAGGGGTCGTAACCGGTGAAGATTTTCCGGAAATACCACCCATATTGCCGGCTACCCCATCACCGGCAGCCCACAGTTGGGGAATGTCAATGTCTGTTCCTGGGGGGTTAGAGAACCCGGGTCCTGTTGTGGAGCAGCCACTTAGTCCCCCGCCGATTTCCAAGATCTTTCGGGAGGGGTGGGATAGTGCAAGCGATGGCGATCGGGATGCAGAGAGAAGGCGAGCCAGGAGCAAAGATAGAGAAAGAAAAATGAAGAGGAGAAGAGACAGGGAAAGAGGTTTAACAAAATCTTCTGTTGCTACTGATATAGAGATTGATCCGGAGGCCAGGCAACTTGGGAAGCAAGTCCCCGCAGAGGATACGGAAAAGGGTACAGATCTTGGAAGTGGTTTTACGAAACAATATTATCCAGAAGACGACGATGGAATCAGGGTCACACCCTTGAGAGTAAAGCGACGGGGCTCGAGCAGGAAGAAGAAGAAAGGTAAAGAAAAGGAGAACTCGGAAGAAGACAAATTGGGGAATGGAGCGGAACCGGAGGCGGTGCCGAAGCAGCCCGTGTTGAAAGAGCCTATAAAGTTTGAAGATACAAAGTCGGAACCTGGCCTCCGGAGACGGGCACGAGAAATAGACCTGGAAGGAGCAGAAGACGCTTGCAAAGTGGAGGTCAAAGCTTGGGATTACGATGACGGAATTAGGATCTACACAAAGAAATCCAAAACCCCGGTAATAGCTGCTCGGTTCAGCGAAGGCGGAAGTAGGAATTCTGTACGCAAGGGTGAGAAGAGTGTTCGTGCTCGGAAAGAAGAATTCGAAGCCGAGATGAGGCGGGAGCGGAAAGCTCAAAAAGACTTCGAAGAGTTGATTAGGCAACAGGAAGAGGATGACCGAGAGAACGCTCAGGCTATAGAAAGTGAGAAGGATTATGAGCAAAAAGCTGGCGCCAACAATATTGAAGGATCCACTGTCGTTGGTGATCAGGAATCGACAAGGAAGAAGTGGGAAGATTTTGATGATGGCATTCGGGTCAGACCACTGAGGACTAAGGGAGTGAGAAGGAAGAGAAGTCCGGCGAGCTCCCCTACAAGAAAGCCTGGAGATGAAAAGGATAGTATTATAGAGAGCGTTGCCGAGACTACCGCTGGGACCAACCCAGAGGTTGAAAGGCAGCGGGAGTTGGAAGAGTCAATCCGGAGGATTCGAGAGTTGGAGAGGCAGGAAAAAGAGGATAGGGAGAAAAGAGAACAACTGGAAAAGGAGGAATGCGAAAAGAGAGAAGCAGAAGAGAAAGAGGAACGAGAGAGGAGAGAGCTGGAGAACAAAGAGAAGGCTGAACGAAGACTCTTGCGGCAGCGTGAGCGAGAGAGGAAAGAGATGGAACGTGAGATGGAACATGAAAGGCAGCGTGAGGAGGAGAGAGAGATGGCTCGCAAGCGCGAAGCTGAAAAATTAAAGCTAGAAGCAGAGATGGAAAGGCGAAAGCCAAGACGGCGTGAAAAGGAAAGGGAGAGGGCGAGGGAGAGAGAAAGAGAAAAGCAGAGGCAGGAGGAGAGGAAGAGGGAGAAGGAAAGGATCAAGAAAATAGAGCCTATGGAGCGGCACTCATCGCCAGTGTCTATCAAGCAGACGGAACCGGAATCTGGATCCGAAACAGAATCGATGTCAACTACAGAATCAGACCCAGAATCGGAGAAGGAACCACAGCCGCCTACAAAGCCTATGTTTCCTTTAGAGACAAATTCTGCACCTACTACCCCAACCCGATCTAAGAGTAGAAGGATCAATAGGCCAATGACTCCGGAGGACCCACTCTTAGAATTTCTTGGGCGACGCGGAACAAAACGGGGGACTAGCCCCCAAAGGATGAAATCGGAGCGTCGCCGGATGTGGGAGAAGCTCGCATCTGGGGGAGAAACGTCCCCGCTGCCATACGAGGCCACAACTCCCTCACCGGATCCTGTAAAGCGACGGGAATCTCGAAAGGTCAAAAGAGATGATTCTACTCCTATAAGTTCACCATCCTCTCCGCCTGTTAAGGAAGAACATCTGCCCAAGGATGAAGAAGCAAGATTGCCACCAGAGATACCTGAAAGACCCAAGCGGACGAGAGCCGAAGCGAGAAGGACAACATTAACAGCACCGGCGGAGGAACCTGTGGCCGAAACAGGGGAGTTCTCTGTCAGTGCTCCTGCAACACCAATACCCCACCCAATGGAGGATTTGTCGCTGAGGAGAAGAAAGGCCAAGAGCAAAAGATTGTCAGTACAGGACGATGGCCAAGCAAAAGTGGTAGAAGCACGGACAGATACGCCATCGCCTGAGCCTCTGTCATTCAAGCAGGCCGAGTTATCAGTAGATCCTGCACCTCGAAAGAGGAAGAGTGATATCAGCACTGGGACATTTGGGCCAAAGTTGGCATCTGCTACAAGTTCATTTTTTAAAGCTGTCAAGGCAGAGTTTCAAGCGGAATTGCAAGCAGCAGCCAAGGCTGCAGAATCGACTTCTTCCAGTGAGGGAGAAGATCTAGACCTTCTCAACCACTTTGTTGAAAATTCTAGACCTGTTGAATCTATTGGAGAGCAAGACGAAGGCAGCGACGGGGATCATGAGATCGCGACGGACCCAGTAACGGCGGAAGAGTTAACACCACCCCCTCCGACGCTGGTGGCGAGAGCTACCTATACAGAAACGGAGACCGAGACCGAGACCGAAACAGAAACAGAGTCGGAGTCGGAGTCCGAGACTGGATCGGATAGTAGGTCGGGATCGGGCTCGCAAGCGACACAAGAGCACCAACCGGGTGCTGACCCTATCAGAGACACTGAGGTTTCCTCCGAGTCGCGAGCGCAGGTTGGGTCTCAACCGGAACTAGAAGCTTCAGCTGGGAGGAAACCCCCGACTACAGAATCCCTGAGGCCGAGTGGCAACGTTTTGCTTGGAGATTCTCAGACGTTACTACCGAAGAGAAGTATCCGTAGTTCACCTTCACCTCCAAAACCAAAAAGAAGGGGATCAAGAGCTAGATCTCAAGGAACACACACGCCTGTATCTTCCATCGACAGTGGTGAGGCTCGCGCTTACACTGATAATGGGTCCGTAAGGGAACCTTCAGATGCTTCCTTGTCTACCGTTAAACCTCTTAATATCAAACCCAGAGATCCTTCCCCAGAGGGCCAAACTTCTCCTACGCAGGCTCCCCAGGGACAGGGTGGTGAGATTTATTACACCCCAAGTCTTCTCACTCAAGAGGCCAGCCTAAAACGGAAGTACACAAAGCATGCCGATCTTATCTCAATACTCTCTGTACCGAAGCCAAGTAAAAGCTTGAGGTCTGCCACAAGAACTAGGAGCCATGGAAAGATGTCTCGGAAAGTTTCAACTATCACCATTCAAGATTTGATGGCTGAACTAGCCACCGAGGAAGCCAAATACCTCCGTGAGCTCCGAACCCTGGTCGAAGATGTGGTCCCTGTGCTTTTCCAGACGGTGCTCGAGCGTGCAGATGATGTTGTCAGACGGCGGTCTTTGAGTGGAGGGAAGCCTGACAACTACGGTTTCCGGACAGGCTTTGCAACAAATCCGACAAGGCCCATTGTAGATATGGGAATTTCACTGGAGCGCCTTAAAACGGTCCACGAGAGGATGCCTAAGCAAAATCCCAATGAACTCCTAATTTGGGCTATGGACGCCAGGAAGGTTTATGAAGAGTATCTTTCTGTTTGGAGAATGGGGTTCCAAGATGTTGTTGTGACCCTAGCACCGGATTATGAGGATGAGAAGGAATTCAGAGATTACCAAGAAGAGCTCACGCGGAAAGGTTTAGAGATGCTATACAGTTTCACACAGCCAACCCCTTCCGCTATATCATATGAAGGTGATCCATCAACTTGGGCCATGCCGCCTCCGCCGGAGCCCATAGACGAAGGCGAAAAAGTGGATGTGGCATTTCTCCTCAAGAGACCACTTGTGAGGTTAAAGGTTTTGGCGAAACTTTTCAAGGTAGGAACATCTTCACCTCCAAAAGTTTTGTTTTGAACGTAGAGCTCCTCCACATTGTCATGAAACCTCGTTGAAATCAGTGGGCGTTTAAACTCATTTTATGCCTTCATTACGAAATATTGGAATATGTTACTAAATTATCGATATTAGAGGATGAATCTCCTACAGCCTTCAGCACCCGCACAGGCATTGACATCGGCCTTCCACGGGGTTGTAGCAATAGCCCGCCGCAAGATTGCAGAGGAAAAAGCACGTATTGAAGACGAGGCCGCAGCATCAATAAGTGTTGCTAATGTCTCCGACATTCACACTTTGCTCCCCCAGTATGATGTTTCACTCGATCCAACCAAACGTGTACGGGCACGTGACGGCTTTTACATGCGGCTCTACCACTCGTCGGGGAGGGTCCTTCAGCGCAACGTCGAATTGATACTTCGTGATCCCCCCGGAAAGGCAAGACCTGAGCGAACTGAAATCTTAGTCTGCCAGTTTGGGGAAGGGGAAGTTTCTGATAAATGGCTTTTGTTCGCACCGATCCCCCTGGGTGCTATATCTGCTAGGACGGGTGACGCAGCAGGCGAAATTGTCGTAATGGTCAGGGGAATGGATCCAAGCAGCCAGGAAGAGCTTCGGGAAATTCTCATTTTAGGTTCTCCTACCGCTGCGGGATTTGAATGGGTTCAGATGCTCGGACTGATTCCAATCCCTCCGGAGGGGCCTTTTACGGACAAGCCTTATCAAATGCATACGCTAGAGACACTGACCGAAGAGGGAACACTTTCTTCGCGTTGGCAATCACCAGCCCCGCCACACTCCTCTCATGGGCCAAAGACACCAAAGGCACTTTCTCAAAAATCAGAACAGGAAACACAGAAGAAATCAGAGAAATCAGAAAGCGTTGGCGACGTTTTTTCATTCCTTGAGTCTGATAGGGCAACGCCAAAACAAGAACCAGCACCCTTGGTTGTTGAACCCCCGAAGACAGTCAAGCCACCGTTAGAAAATGCTTCCGGGGCAGAGGGCACAAATGGACCTAAACCAGCGGAGCATTGTGAGGTTCTCCCGCCCGACTTTGCTATGATGCCATGCATCGCAGGTGGATACTGGTTCCTCGGCGGGCATTTCAAGACTCCCGAAGCGAAGACCGATGCCGAGCAGGGGCTGGGAGCTCAAGATCTTCTTGCTTCCCCACCTCTTCGTCATTCGGCGTCCTTGCATACATTGAGCGACAGGTACTCGGCCCCCAGTGAGGGTCGGAGTCCAAGTCTCCAGCGCTCCCGCAAAGCCAGTAAGCCTTCGTCATCGAGAAGGAATTCAACTATCAACAACGACCCCGACACTCTCTCGCTTGGCCCGTCAGAGCCCTCCAACTATCTAGCGCCCGCCCCAACCAATACCCTTTCGCGCACAAGGTCAATCCATCTCGATGATGAGGCCCGCTCCACCGCTGCCCTAGAGAAGCCCGCCCTAAGGTCACCGTTCGAGGATGCACCAAATCTCTCCCCCGACCCTAAGCCCGAGGAGCTAGGATCTCTAACCCCAGTTAAAAAGGGCACGAAGACCGATGTACCTCCTCCGGTGCCCCCTCATAGAGTCCTTACCACCTCCCAATCACGCGATTCAAACCCTCCCTCTCGGTCACCAGTAATTCTTTCAATGCCTAGCAACTCTTCTCCGTCTTCTGGCAAATCTGGCTTTAATGGCCGTCGCCGCACTTCCAGTCCCCTCAAGCATGAATACGATCCATCATCGCCTTCGGGATCTGAGTCGGAATCTGAGGAAGAGGAAGAGAAAGAGGAAATAAATCTACAGTTTAAAGAAAAAGGAAATAACGATGAAACGGCGGACGATGAATCTGTATCGTCAAGCTCAGAGGAATCCTCGTCAGAAGAGGAGGAATCCGACGATGTCGTTTCCATCTGTTCTGAAGAAGAAGATGGAGACTATCCTCCCCCGATGCTGTCCATCCCCAGGCGGGTTTCTAAGGAGCCGTCGGGGATAATTTCGCTTCCAAGGCAAAGACCTTCCTCCCTGACTTTGGCCTCTTCTGCTCCTACTATTCAAGCATCTGCTCCGCCCGCATACAAGTTCCGAGCTTGGGTGTTTGCATGGGCCATAAACCAGTGGGAGAAACTGCACTCGAATGAATGCAGAATTATAATAACCCCCGGGCATATTGAGAGTTTCCCATCTGGGTCACCCCCATCTACCCCGGGTAGTGCTACCCCGTCCGAAAAGCCTGGCACCGATAACTTTACCGATAAGAATACGCCCTCAACGGATATCGCATTGCCACAAAAACTGTCTGAGACATCGCTAGGATCTACAACGCCAGTGTTTAGTCTCGATCTAAGTCCTGTTACACCCGTTCGACGTGGTACTGCCGTTGATGTTTCTATCAGAACCCCTCCAAACTCCAAATTTTCTGGCGCAAGTCTTATGCTTCGCTGCAGATCTCCCGCCGAATGCGAAACCCTTTACAACGCGATCAACAACAGCAGAGTGTACCCGGTAAACTACCAAGCTCCGAGTACGCTTCTGAGCTCACTAGCATCTTCCGAGATGGGAATCAGCGAAGCCTCGTCCACTACCGCTGGTGGGAGCGTCAAGAGAGGTTGGGGAAGCTGGGGAAGATCAAAAACTTATCGCAATGGGATCGCAGACAGTAATTCAGGAAGTATCATATCTTCTGGGCCATCGGAGACCTCAGTCGGCAGCCTTTCTTCAGCATTCTCTAGATTCCGCCAACACAATCGCATGTTCAAGAGCCCCCTCAGTTCAGTTGCATCCAGTTCTTCGAGCAATGCAGGTGATTCCCGCAGAGGAAGCCCTTCTGCCCTAAGCATGCCCGTAGTGGATGGCAACCCTGTCTTCAAAATCCGACTTTACCGCCGTGAAAACGCTTCCAAGTGGAGAGATCTTGGAAATTCGAGATTGAGCATTCTCAAGCCTGTAAACGCAAGCCAGAAACAACCGAATAGCCTGAGTACCGGAGATGAAAAGAGAATCGTTGTGACGAATAAAGCGGGGACGTTGGTATTCCTCGATGAGGTATTGGGAGAATCGTCCTTCGAGCGTGTAGCTAGAACTGGTATCGCTGTTAGCGTGCTTGTTGGCGAGGGTGAGGAGAATGGCACTGGTGTTCCGGGGGGTGTGGGCGGTATTGGCGCGAAGAGCATTGTTTATATGATGCAGGTATGTTCCCCCACCCTCTTTCCGAAAGTCAAATTGTCAATGGGGCTGCGCGCTAATGCAGTATTCCTGGAATAGATGAAAGGCGAGGCCGAAGCAGCATATACCTTTTCCATTGTTGGCAAACTAAGATACTAGTCGAATAGCCCTCCACCTCACCTCCCACTCTGGATCTTTTTCCTTTTTTTCTCTTCATTTCTTTTGTCATTTTCATTCCTTAGGTAGTGCATACTCACTTTGGCGCATATATCATATGCCCGTGTAGGGGACACTGTCTATCAGCTTTGCGCATTGGGATAGGGGATCGTGGGCAAGTGGAGTCTGGGGTTTCTGTTTATACCGATCTAGCGTTTTTCCTTTTAGAATTACTTGGGAGTTCTCTTTTTTTCCTGTTTGGGGTTCTCTTTTTCTTCTCTTGCTCATTTCATTTCATTGTCATCATTGGGGAAATTTCATTTACACACTACCGGTAGGAGTCTCGGCGACAAGGCGAGTGCGAGTGGGGTTGAGTAATATGTCCGTGTTACCATAATATTACCAGGGACGCGAGAGGCGAGAGAGATGAGGATATCCGCGGTGTGGACAAAAGGATGGAAAAGCAATCGCTCATAAGTTTGAGTGGAGACAGAGGCATTGGGATTAAGGGATATTTAATTTCTTTGGCGTTAGGAATCAGCTGTTATTGGTCATGTTACGTTAGCTACTGTATGGACGGAGTGTTAGACATTGGATACCAGAAGGTCCAGAATAGTCAATACAGCAATAAACCTTTACAATTATATATACATGATTTCACCGGGCTCCCCATCATAATCCATGTTGAGTCGCTAGTTAAAGCTGGGATAGATAAAGAAGGCTGTCCTATTATAATATATACCTTATCCTATCCGGAGGGCGATACACAGGTACATCGAGCACGGTATGCTAGATTAGCTCCCAATAACAAATAGTAAGATTTCAATGGAGCCTAATACGATAGATTGTTGAATTATCACGTCTATTATGTCATACAGTTTACTCATAATATGCTGTACTGTGCTGTTCGAGCTGTTTCAAAAGGCGTATCATACAAGAAGAAATGTTCTCTGCAGCCCACCCACCAACCAATAAAAAAACAAAATAAAAAAAGTCTCCCAAGGTTCCATTCTCCGTCTACCTCCTATCGACATTGGGCAGTACGCTTATATCAGTTAATTTAAGGATTGTGTGATACCGTGGCTACAGTAAGACCTCGAGCAAAAGAAGAAAAACAAAAAAAGTCCGATATTATAATTATTATAGTACCTCTTTCACAGCCATTCTGAAGCCTTCATTCCAAACTTTCTTTCTTCAAACGCACTCTACTAGTACATACAGGAAGACTGCTAGCCAAGAGGACCTGATAGTTCAGCATGAACACACACCCCCACTCTGGACATATATCACAATTTATGCCAAAATCCCACCTCACCTAAAAAAAAAGAGAGAACAAAAATAAAAAGCGAGCAGCAAGAGAATTTTGCCCTTCGAGAAAAATACCACCACCAATACAGACAGCATTCCACCCGCATGACTTACTACGATACCAGCGGGATCATTCCCCACTTGTGGGGGACATAATATTATAAGGGCAAAAAGAGGTTATAAATTTCTTGAGTGCGGGGGAGACATTCGGGTATTCGGTTGATATGATACCGTAGCCTGGCAGTACGTTCGCCTTATAGTGAGATCTACTCGTGGACAGAATTCATGACTCCTCACTCCACGGTATGACACAACAAACCCACACAAGGTATTAGTTTATATAAAAAGGTATAAAAAGCGTAGCGTAGGAGGGGGAAAGGAAAAAACTTCCATAAGGAAGTTTCCCTCGGATTCCCTCGGATTATTATTAAGTATAGACTCGTACCTCGTCTCGTACTCTAGAAACCCTGCAAACTGTCACCAAACACCGAGTGACGACTCGTGTTCCGGACCGAACTCCACCATTTTGTTCAGCCCCCCCCCTCCCGGGAGTTGCAGAAGCCACCAACCAGTCGATCGGTATGCAGCCGGGCCCAAAATTACGAATGGCACCTCGCTTATCACCCGGCGATCTAAAACAAGGTCAAGCCAAGAACAACCTTTTAATCGCAACCAGCATTTGGTACTAATGACCACCATACGGTACAGTACCCCCAAAACCCACGATCAACGACAAATATGCCTCCAAATTCGTATTGAAGGCTAGATTTGAGCTTAGCATTAAAGCCCACTACAAAATAGATATATATATTCAACCTCTATCCCACCACTGAAATAAACCCCAATACGAGAACTGAGCCAATCAAAAAAAAAAAAAACTGGGGAAAAAATATATAAAATCAGTAGCTACGCACAGGAGGAAAGGGGAGAAAGACGAAAAGAAGAAGAAAAACTACAATCACTGCAGTAAGTACTTTCGTGGCTGGTAGGAACCCGCACAAAACGCAGTCAAGAAAAGGAGCGAGAAATAAAAAGAGCAACAAAGAAAAGAGGCATTGCACCGCATAACAGTACTCCACCGAAAACCAGACCCCATACGCCACCTTCAAACCGCACTGTAGCCACCCCGCCCACCGCCCCTACCCTGCAACGTCCCTAAAACCCTTCGTGCCCAGTCCTTTAGTAGATATGGTAGATCCCGAATGGTATCACTGTGAGGAAGGAGGTCCCAGCTGTTGCCCGAAGAATAATTAGTCGACTACCTTTTGAAGTTAAAATGTTTGTTTTTTCCGTCTGGATTGGGGTGTTAGGAGAAATGGGGAGAAACGACGGGGAGCTGATGAGGAGGGAAGAGCAGGAAAGTACCCTCTTGCGCCATAGCGGTTGTGGTTTAGCCAGGAGCCGAAAATCAAATATGCTGCAACGCCTAGGAACAAACTAAAAATTTTGAGCGTGTATGTTAGCGCAGCTTAAAGAAAGTGGGTGGGGTATTACATGATGATAAACCAGGTAAAGAATCCCCAGTGGTGTCCTTGGTCCGCGTCTGGATCCTTCTCAAGACTTTCACAGGCATACTTTGTCCTCCACTCCAATCTCAGCACGTTCCTTTCGGCATTGGTGGTATCGTAGTTGATGAATTTCAAACTCTGCTCCTCCGCACTTTCACCCTCTTTTGGATCCTTCTTCTCCGATCCCTTATCGCCATCTCCTTTCCTCTCCTCACTCCTCCTCCCCTTTTCGCTCCCCTCCCCCTCCCCCCCTTCCTTCTTCAAGCCTTCTAGACCCGTCTTCTCCGGATCACAGATGAACTCAACTACCGCTTGTTGAGGCTTCTTCTCGTATAGTCCACCATTAAGCACAACCCTCAGCCCTTCTTTCCCCGAATCCGCATGCGATTCTGAAGTCTTCAACCGTGTAACCTTTTCATCTACACGCCGACCATCAATATCTCCCGCGATCGGAATAATTTTGTGAATGCTTGTAGTCCCTCCGTCGTCCGTCACGCGCTCGATACCACAAACTGTGTTCATCATGCATCAGTCAAGCCATACAACAAATCTATCCTGGATCAAGCGAAACTAACCTTGCGTACCATGTGGACACTGTGCCTTCGGATGATCCACCTTATTCTTCTGTATAGGCCCGCACGGATTGATCGTCCAGGTAGTATTCGTTACCTATCACAAAAAAAAGAAATCAGTCTCTCACCCCTCCATCACCACAACGCACAAAGTAATGCGGGGGGACTCACGGTAGGAAACGACTCCTCTCCTGTGGTCACAGAATACGGGCCTTGAAGCTCCTTCAGACTCCACTTGATTCCATCTACGACTGCCTCGCAACTGAAACTTGCCAGCGCGACCGACGACAAAGCGGCGATTACAGAGCACTGATAGAGCCGCATGACGATGTAGATGATGATGATGTGATAGGCCTAGCAACCGTTGCCTCGTTAACACCGGAGAGGGAGAGGGCTTGGAGCGAGATGTTGTTTGATGATCGATAACCCCCGCTGTTGTCAAGACGAAGGGATAAAAGGGGGAATAAGATATTAGGGTGCTGCAGAGAGAGAAAGGAGCGAGGTCTGACTCTTGAAGGAAAGTTGGAAAGGTGGGCTTCGGACCGGTAATTCACTCGCTCATCGGGACTGTGTTCCCCCACTGACGAAGGGCGTGTTAGTCACCATAAACCCTATTCGGAAGCATCAACACGGGGCGGGGGTTTTGGAAACCAGGCCGGGTAACCTCCTGGTAAAAGTGCCTTGTGTTTGGAGGCTTGGGGGTACAAGTATGATACCAGTATAGATACTCGAGTACGAGACGGGTATCATATCATACCTGGGGTGAGATTAAACCTGAGCAACCACATTTTCGCAAAAGTTATACCGGTATGATAGGGGGGAGGCAACTCCATCAGATATTTGCTCGAACACTCGAGCATCATACTCAAGGCTCTAGTCACACGCCTTGCCGGTGTGCTCGTACTCGTACCGGTACTTGTACTCACGGACATAATCTTACCCCAAGGACTCGAGTACTCGTACCGTAGATGGTCGTGTAGGTTAGGTTACAGATGGGGCGTTTCTAATTCCGGGACGGGACGTTTTTTGTTGATGCACTCAGCCCCCAGTTCCGGAGATTGGCGACCTGGTTTTCTGGAACCCGGGTTCCCCATTAACTTACAAGTATCCCACACCCCATATACGGCATTGTATCGTGCCGGTAGTATCAAGGGTATAACTACCGCATACAGTTCATTGAATCCAATAAAACAAACTATAACCGATCAAGCCCTGTTGTTCCCATTTGTCTAGACGTTCATCTTAAACTGCTTCAAGTATTCATAGTCCCTCAAGTTCGCATCTACAGCTTTCTCTATTATCCTGGCGCCCTCCTCGCCATATTTCTCAACCCAGCTCGCATATTCCTCCTCAGCTGTCCTAAAAACTTTCTACGAATAGTTAGCTACGACTCATATAGAAAAGCCCTGCAAACCTACCTTCTCCCTAGGCCTCAATCCCTTGCTCTCAATAGCATCCTCGTGAAATCCTTTCCACTTATCAAAATCACTACAACCCCCTGCTTCCCACACAAGCATGCTCTCATTGAACTCCAGCCCCACGCTCTCACAGTATTTCTGGACTACCTCCTTAGGATGGTCGAGGAGGTCATCTGCATCAATGAGGCATACCTCTGCGCCGTCTTTACCCCCGATAAGACCTTTGGCGCGGAGGTAATCGAAGAAAACTCGTAATTCGCGGTATCCAGCTTCCGAAGGGAGGAAGTAGTCGAAACCAGTCTTCTCGGAAAGCGGGGGAACCGTGCAGCGGTAGAAAGACGGGATCGCACGGCGGGGATGGCGGATCAGAAAGTTGAAATGGTAGTTCTTCAAGGTTGAAAGAGGGATAACGGATGGATTGTCGTTATCTTCCGGAGAGACATCCCTAATTCCGTCGGTACTCTCATTAGAAGCATCATTAGAACGCCCATTGGTGTCACATCCCTCCCCCTCGTGGATTCCCAATCGAAGCGAGGGAGCGATTCCCCCAATTCCAGCAGATGAATCGTAAGGGATGATATAGTAGGCCATATCTTTCAAGAAGACTCTTTTCCCCTAGACTCGATTAGCACAGTATCCCAGTGCTTTCCGCAGGAGATGCAAACATCTTCTCCCCCACCGCTAATGTTGCTGACCACGTCTCGGTAAGTAGTTTCGGAAAATCCGCTTTTGTCCCTGACACCTTGGTGTTCTTTCCCAAAATACCTCTCACCAATCCTCTCTCCGCCGAAGTAGAAAGCATCGCCAAACGGCTCATGTACACACCTCAAGTCCTCCCTAGTCATCATAACCCTTTCGAAAGCCGTCGAACACGACCTCGGATGAGTTGCAAGGAAAATCGGCTTGCTAGACATTCGGTATTTCTTCTGTAGTTTTTTTTTCCCCTATGCTCTTGTGCTTCTAGGTTTGCATCCTCTCCAATAATTTGAGGGTCCCAACGGGGCTTTTTATGAGCCATTCTATCATGCGCAGCCGAAGGCCTGCCAGGCGATTTAGAGATAAGAAAAATAGAAACGGAGGCAGGGTAATAATATTTCCCACTTCGTTATGCATGTTCAGTTAGAGCTTCGCGAACAGATAGGGAAGATGTAAGCGACGCCGGGAAGGAAGTTTAGCATACGACAGCATGCACGATTATATTGAGCGGTTCCCCCGATGCAATGCAAATCATACACCATTCCCATCTAACTTGTGGGCTCGGCCCGGAAAAGAGGGGAAGGCAGACCCCCCACTAGGCTCTCCTCTTGCCGTCTGCAAGTAGGAGCCCCTACGGCATTCGACATGACCCTGCACGATAGTGCCCAGGAAAACCGACAAAAGGGTCAGATCCCAAATTTTGGCAGGTGTCAATGATATAATACGAATCAGTCCCCATCCTACAGTATGATACCACCAATCCCCCTGGATGGACTATGGAAAGGAAATACTGGGGCTGGGCAACTTGATCCCTGTGACCACTTGCCATTCTCATACCAGGACTGTCCGTTAACCCACCCGTACAGTAGAGGCTGTCCGGGGAAACAGAAGAAATAGCCACTATTGTATCGCGACTCTCGAAAATCTCCCCCTCCCCTTCAGAGATCCACAGCCCATACCCAGCAGCCCGGGTGTGTCCATAGCCCCCTTGCCTTCAGAGAATTGTATGAGTATGGGGCCGACAGAAACTGCTTTCCGACCATTACAATCATATTCGAGTACACAGACTACAGGGAGCCGCAGTTAATATCATAATGCCATTACCGGTAGGGTCGCGTTTGACACCCCAGAGAAATGGCGTTTTTCTGACTTCTATGGCAAATTCTATTAATGGAATATCTTGACTCGCCACTTTTTTGTCTGTGGCCCGATGTACTGTACCGGCAGTACTCGTATTGCACCTGGGACGGTGCAGGGCGTCGAAAATCGACCCTCCCACAACCAAAAACTAAGAACAAACCCACCCCGGAAACAACCCGCCTGCTTTGAGAAAAACTCCCTATAGCACCACTCAGAATTAGCTCCCCTTTGACTGTATGGCCTCTGTTTTTTGATCGATTAAGTGCTGGTTGAGCGTGGTAAGATCGGTACCCCCGGACCAGTCAGCATACTCACAAATATATGCCAAAGCGCTAGACTAAGTTTTCTATGCATGACCAAGCAAAGGCGATGAGCCAGTAGTCTACGGTACCTACCCGTGCACTTGTGCTCGTACTGTACCTTGCAGGCCTCCCTAAGCAAATCTTGTTTGATAGCGAATATGTGCAGCGGGTTCGTCGTGAGTAAGGAGGAAAACACTTGTGCACGGGTGAGAGTGATTGTGTTTGACTAGTGGTCCATGACCGATTCATTCCTCCTTAAGTACAGGAAGGGAAAACACACAACACTCTCAGGGTAAACCCACATAACAGGAGAAAGACAAACAACCATGGTCATGACTGTTCCAGCTAAATGACACCATACCTCCCAGCTATCTACTGGGATTACATATCTATCATTGTTTTCATCAGAGCAAAACGTTCAACGTTCAGCAGGGTATTCGAGTAGTCTAGCTGCTATCATATGTGGACTGGACTATATCGATTTTTTTCCTCTAGGACCAAAGACATTCGAATTTAACAAAATTTTGAATTTTTTGGGCCCTGTTCGGCGCATCACAATAAAAATATATCACAATAAAAGTTGCAAATAGCATATATTCTAAAATAAATTTATAGTATATTTCGGAAAAATAGGTGCTCATTTGGACAAATAATATAAAATAAATATACATGCCAAGACAGCACAAACCCTATTATTGTTGTAAAAGTAGGGTTAAAAACAGTATTAATTTTCAGAATAAAAAAGCCTCATGTTACTATCTCAGTAGGAGATTATACTTCATGAACAAGCAATATAAAGTAGTATAAACAACATAAATACCCTTCAGCAATTATGGACAATGGTCTGTGGGCCGAGGACGGTAAGGAATTTCATGTTAAAGTTGAATTGATTATTTGTTATATATAAATAATTTCTAACATATCTATTTTATAATAATATTGTAAAGGACTCTTATTTCTAGCCCTTAATCTATATACTATACTCTCATATTTACGCTATAAAAATATATATTGAAATAAAAATATATCATAATATTTTTGTATGCACCAAACACACCCCTATATAAAAAGTTTTAATTGCCAAAATTTATACTATAAAAGTCACTTTTATGCTATAAAAATGGCACGCCGAACAGGGCCTTATTTTTATTTTTTCCGGAAAAAATGACGGTTTTTTTTCTATAATAATATGGTGCCGTACCGAACATGGTTCTAAGTCGTCACGGTTTGCGGTCATGATACTATACATTTTCATTCTATTGTAAGAAATCGCAACTCCCGGCGCGGAAAAGGTTAACGATAAGATAAGCACACGGTTACCATGCCGCCAGAATCTGGAGCCCTGGCACAAGGGAATCCAGTAGCAAAGTTGGTGGGTCACAGCAAGCAAGGGGCGGGCAGTCCCATCGATGCAAGTACTGTAGGTGATGAGACTCAGAGTGTGCGAGCAATTCACCGGCCGAAAACTTGCATTTTTTCTGTGCACTGCTTTTTCTTATCAGATGGACCATCACACTCCGAGTATTAGAAAGATTCCGAGCCCACCCATTACCGGTTCACGCAAACTCCCACCCACCCACACCCCTCACTCAAACCCGCAAATCCCGCCAGAAGGAGGAAGTGTCCCCCCCATAACGTTGGAGTAATACCGGTAGCTCCAACCAAGCGGAACCATACGGCACGGTCAACCTATGCATCGCATGATTACAACTTCTATACTGGAGATACAAGGAAAGCATAAATAAGTATTTTTGTTGCAAGTATCATGGAAACAACAATCGATATATACAGTCTGAACGGCAATGACTGGGGCCGTACCTTTTTTTTTTCTCGCACCACCAACCCGCGAGCTCGGGGTTCGATTGATGGATAGTGACTCCGTGAACGTCGTGTTTTGTCATCGCACCACGACTACAGTGCTTTAGGAAGGGAGAGAAGGGGTTGCGGGGCCATGGATGGCGTAGGAGGATATAACCCTGTGGCCGGTTTTCCGATAACTGTATGGGAAAAGGTGCGAGATTGGGGTATCGTAGAATCGTGTCGGGTGGTGGTCTACTCGAGTAGGTTGGACGGTGTGTTCTTAGCAGTAAACTGGATGTCGTGCTGAGTGAACCAAATCACCTGGGGCTGATAGGTATTTTTTAGTACTCGAACGTACACATCTGTGCACGATACATACCAGCCATCCCGACATAGACGACCCAGCGCGATTCTCGCGTTAGCCCTTTACAGGTTCTTCGGATAGTCTGCGTGAAAATAGGGAGGTGGACTTTGTTCAAGGAGTGAGATTCAACAACGAAAATATCCTACCGTTTTACGGGGTCTTGGCAATGGGTAGGTGTTCGCAAGAGATAAGTTAATTCCTGTATAATATCTTTCCCAGGGGGGCAAACAAGGTACGGTAAGTTACAGTACCATTCGTTCCGTCCAAACTCACGCCGGGCGTTAACTTACCATTTTTAAATAATTATACAAGAATAAGTACGCTTCCGCTACATTAAAATATCTAGATTGTTGGGAATACTGAGGAGAATAATGTACGGTTTTTTTGAAGTGGGTAGAGGTCTTAATGGTGACATATAATCCATTGAAAAGTTGCAGCCTAGTGTAGGTTTTGTATGGCGCAAATCATATCATACATAAGTTAATTAGATTCCGAACCCGAGAGCCATAAACTCCTCAGCTCCTCTGCCCGTTAACATGTTGCTAACTCGGGCGAGAATCTTGGCATCGAGGCTTGAGGGAAATGGATGGAAGTGACGAAGAATAGCATCAAAGGCAGGGTAACCGAAGCAGCGCAAAAGCACCGAAGCCTAGCTGTATTTTCGCACGGCTCATCAGTGGTGGATGCAGCTTATCTGCTGACGCACTGGTACAGTACTCGAGATACAGTAATCTACGGCACTGCACCGGTATCTTTGCTCAGGGTGAAGCTGGAACCTTTCGGGAAGAACCGGGTGGGCGAAATGTTTGTGTTGCCTTAACTCGACGAAATTGGAAACACCGTGATTTTATCTCTTCGCTGCACTGTTCCTTTGGTCGCCAATCAGCAAACGCAGATACGCGCACCCAAGAGCCCTATTGACATAACGGTAGTGGTATTGCGTGCTCATGCCGGAATTCTCGAGTACTCGTACTCGAGTAATCACTTGTATGACCCCACGCGCATTTTATTTCTCTAGTCCACATGGTGCTCCGCCAATGGAGTCTTGATGGTGTGGCACTCGAGCTTTGTGCCATGAGACTGCAGCTGATTCAATGAAGGCAGAAATGACAAGCTAATGTACAGTACAGCACTAAGAAAACTCTGCATACGGGTGTCAAGAAGAGATTTACTTCTCGGCACCCAGGGCTATCAGCCAAGCAGCTCCCAACTGCCTCTTTATATCCTCCTTGTCCACATCATGTGTATCTTCGACTTCTCCCCAGATCTCTGTCTGATACCTGACTTCGACGCTCGCGGCTCTAGCCGCCTCTTCAATCCCCCAACTCTTCTCTCCGACCCCAACGTCGGAACTCCACTCCGCTACCAACCTCGCACCAATCAAGAAACTCTTGCTCGACATTGTGGCTATTTCCAGTGCAACCAAATCCCAATCCGTCAATCCCTCCAACCATTCCCTTATAGCTTTCACCGTCTCAGGCAGTTGGTGTGCGATGACCACGAAGCCTAAATCTCCGTCGTTGTACTCGATTTTCGTACCGGGCCAGAGGACAGTTGTTAGCCACTCAACGATGGGCTCTGCTTCCGCCACTTGAAGTTCCCGGAGAGTCTTCTTGTTCGGGTCGCGGTGTTCCTCTAGCGTTGAGGGAGCGTAGAAGATTAATGTGTCGGTGTGGAGGTAACGCATCACGTTTGAGATAGTGGTATCTCGTGAAGGCGTTCGGGCGTTCGGTTCGCGCATGTCAATCACTCTTGCGGCGAGCTGGGTGAGCGGTATTCTATAACGTTTCGTAAGAGCATCCTTTGAGCTGTGTAGAAGACTCCATTCTAGAGCGATTGCATCGGCGAGCAACGGCTTGCTCTCTGGAACGACAATTAGTTTCTTGAGGGGTGTTCGGATCGGCTGTTTGTCGAGGAGTATTGTGAATCCATCTTTAACATATTAGCCTGATACCCTAGAAAATCAAGGAAAGATTGGGAATTTACCACCCCGCTTCTCGACCTTGACTTCCTTCCAGAGCTTCTTCCCTGGATTAGCCCTCTCAGCTTTCTGTCGTCTTCGTAGTTCGCCAATCTCGCCAGCTGCCGGGAGAGGAGGTTTGGGTGGCGGGCCGTGAGCTGTTATTGGAAGTGGGGTTGCAGAATGCACTGGCGAATTATGTAGAGGTCTTGTAACGGGCAATAATAATAATAATTTTCGGCGTGGGGGAAATGGTGATGGGCGAACCCTAACAGCCAGGCGTGGCACGAGAGACATCTTGGTGGTATGTACCGTAGCTGAGGTGTGGAAAGATATGATGAAATTAAGAACTACCGGTACCCGGATTTGTGGAGGGACACTTTCTAAATGCGTGCCAAGATTGACTAATTATGGTTGGAGACACACTGTGACAGGCAATTTGTTGGTATTGTTTCAAAAATATACCCGGTTACTAACCCTAAATAGGAAAGTAAGTATTTCGTATAATATGGGATAATTGGTGCCTTTATCACTTTATCGCTATTCCTAACTAGCCTTGAGAAATTTGTAAATGCTCAAAATTAGCCATCTCCCTCATACAGATTAAGAACCCGTTTTACTCCACCAAAATGCATTATTTTCGCATGAAATCAACCACGTTCTCTCCTCTACAACTAATTGCCTATTGACTCACATTAATAGTGTAACCCTTTGATCCCGTTGTTGAAGCATGATACGATTTTTGTCGAGGCAGTTTTTGTTGTGGTCTCTCCGGCACAAAGTTTCCCCCCACCATAGATGAACGCTCATGGAGACTCACTCGTGAAATAACAAAAAAAAAAGCAAGGAAGCCGGAAACAGGTCCAAAGAAAAACATGGCGTTTTCTTGCAGAGCTTAGCCGTTTGTTGGGATCGCCTGTTCGACTGCACATGACTACCGGAATGCCGGTAGTCCTATAAAAATGTCATTACATCGTAATACGGTATGATATCGGTACTATGATCTTTTCTTTGCTTTTTTCCACTCCTTTCAGTCTTGTAAGGGCGTGGCTTAGAGGGTATGGAGGATTGCCGGACCAGTGAGTATTCGGGGAAGCGGGAATCATTGATGTGCACTAGAAGTCTAGATGTGTATGAAAAAGACTTCTTGTTCATTGTTATGGGCTGCTTGACCCATTGGGATACGAAGGTAGTTTGCAAAGCTTATTCGTAGCATAACACACTGCCCTGTGAGCTTAGTATTTTACAAAACTTGCCAAACATATATGGCCTGGGCGATGGGCACCTTTCCTTCCGGTGAGCAGGTAGGTTGACGTTTGCGGACCACGGGAGATAATTGACTCCATGGTGATACAGCACTTGCTCTCGTGGCCCAGCCTGGCCCCTCACTGTTGGACGCTCGACAACTTGGCCTTTTATCAACCGGTGCCCGAATGGAGAGAGCTCACAATGACTCTGTGGCACGGAGCACATTGATAGATAATGTTATAAGGAGTATGGTATGATCCAACGAGCGAACGGGTTTTCTGGGTAAAGAAGTTGTCTGCGTGGAGGTCTCAGACAGGCTGGGGCTGCAGTTTGGTTGGCCCCCTGAAACCCGAGTTGTCGTCGGATGTTTGCTCGCGATAAGTTAAGGTAAAACTGAGGTTGAACCTTGAACACACCTTTGGGAGGTGGTTTGATACAAATATAACACCTAGCCATTGATCATTTAATCCCTCACTATATAAACAGGCGTGGGTGCAGTCTTGAAGGCATGTATGAGTAGTGAATCTTTGGAGTTGGGGCTGAAGGCACGAAAGACATCAAGACCCTTGATGAGGAATTACTGTACTGTACAAGTACCGGTACGATGTTGTGCAACAATAATATCATACGGTGTTGAACCATCGCACCAGTTCTTGTGGTATCACAAGTTCCCAGTCAAGAAGTACAGTACCTACCGTACTTGTGTCTGACAATTGGTATCCGGGGATACGGCTGTCGTTACATGACCGCCCAACAAACGATAAAAATCCGGTCTCATGTTCAAATGTTTATGATACCGGTACTTTATGACTTTATGCTACAGTAGATACCGGCAATTTATCAATGCCGGTATGCTAGATACAGGAGTGTACATAACATGCACTGCATGCATTGCTTTTTATGGTACCACCCGGTACCACTTTATGCACTTGCACAAAGTTACTCTCCCACTGTGGAGAAAGGGAGGGTTTTGGGAACCTTGAAGGCAAAGGAAACTCTGATACTAATGGAATGTAGGGTGGTTTCAGATTAGGTTTGCGCCTAACTCAACGCCAATTGGCTGGCTCTCCTGAGATTTCTTGGAACTGCCACAATGACCTCTTCCTTGAGTTACAGGTACTCGAGTAGCTGGGCGGGGGAGAGAGGGGGGGAGATGGGGGAGAGAGACTTGGGTCGAATACAATAGGTGTGATAGCAGATGCATGTCATTGTAAGCTTCTCAGACAGGCAGACTGACCGGGACTGTGAGGTTGCCTTTAATAGAATCTCGAAGGGCCTGCGATTTTTGGCCGCTGAAGCCCCAGCGGTCAGGGCTCAGGGCGGAGAGGTAGAAATAGTCCAATGTCTCCGCGGATTTTCCCTCTGTTCTCGCCGACTCAGAATTGCTTCAGGTTACCCACACGGTGCCCAACGTTTTTATCACTTTCATCGTTTTCTGCCCTCTATTCGCCACTTGGTCCACAACCCCACAATCCTTACTCCAGAAAATTTCCACCCTTTAATGAAAATCCTCTGACAGGAGTACCGAAACGTGGGTCAAGTCAGATATATTACAGCTTTCCTTGGAGCTTCGATCCTGCGATCTCCCCTCTCAGGTCATCAATCCGTAGCCAGATATAATCTTCTATTTTGGCTTTTAGATAGAGTGCTTCTTTATTCTCGGATTTCCTAGACCTTCCAATAGAAACCGAGAGGGAGAAGAAGAAGAAAAAAATCACACCTTGGTTCGGTATTCTTCTCTCACTACCGGGAAAACTCAAGTCTAGCACAGGAACAATTAATTCCTTCTGATTTGCAATTATGAATTGCCCGACCCGAGATCCAGAGCCCACTGGTATGAGTATTCTCCTCTTTGCTCCCTTCATGGTGGCGAGGCTAAGGCTTGGTGAGTGAAAACACGGTACAGTACAACATGTTAACGTCAACTTCTGCATCTAGGGAATCCATTCTTCAACCAGAATCCTCCGGCGCTCGACAAAACTCTAACTACGCGCTCATCCCTCGTATGTGGCGGTGGCAGTCTTAGCGATGATGAGTATAACCTGGGCTTACATATTATGGCATTGTTTCTCGTCCTGGCTCAATCCTCGTTTGGTAATTGAACGGTCCTCTTTGGACACCTCACGCCTTACGAAGCTAACTAGTCGTTATAGCATGTGCGTTTCCGCTAATTGCGAAAAAATTTCCCCGCCTCCGCATTCCCCCATCCTTCCTCTTCGGCGCTCATCACTTTGGTACGGGAGTCCTTATTGCAACTGCGTTCGTCCACCTTCTCCCTACGGCCTTCATCTCTCTCACCGATCAATGCCTTCCGGGATTTTGGAATAGCACTTATCCTGCTATGGCAGGGGCGATCGCCATGGTGGCTGTATTCTTTGTTACTATCGTTGAAATGGTATTCACTAAGGGGCTTTGCAAAGGGGGATGTTCAGACACGAACCAGCGAGATGTGAGATGCGAGGCTGGTGATAGCTACTGCAATGCTAGGGATGCTGATGAGGAATATGGGGGAGCGGATAAGACGGGTCAAAAGCGGTGCGACGGCGAAAGGTTGGGGACGCCTGGGAGCGAGGAGATAGGTGGGAAAGGCGGGGTTGGTAGGATGGGATTTGGGATGGCTGGGAAACGGAGGTCCCGGTCTCACTCGGTTGGCCAACGATTACAAAAGTATGAGGAAATGGAAAAGAAAGGGAGGCAAGACCAGGTATCCCGGACTGCTGGAGCGAATGACAGTAGTCTCACGGTAATTGGGACTCCCGGTACTGATGATGTGATCATAGAGATGACCAACAACTACGCGGGCCAAGAGGAAAATGTGGTTGATGATGGGAGTCAAGACCGCGCTATTGTGAATGCGTTCAAGACACTGCCCGGGGTCGCTCAACTGACGCCGGAGCAAATTCACAAGAAGGCGCTACTTCAGTGTGTATTGTTGGAAATGGGAATTCTCTTCCATAGCGTATTTATTGGAATGGCGTTGAGTGTCACTATCGGGCCTGGATTTGTCATCCTTCTGATTGCCATTATCTTCCATCGTATGTTTGTTCTATCACATTTTTGTTAACGGCAAGCTGATTTGCGAAAAGAAACCTTTGAAGGACTAGCCCTTGGCTCTCGTATTGCCGTTTTGAACTGGAAAGCTGATGCTGTCCAGCCCTGGCTTATGGCAGTTGCATATGGCTTGACGTAAGCACCCCTCTTGCCCATATTACGCTTCAACTTACAGATGAGCAGTACGCCTGTCGGTCAGGCCATCGGTCTTGCAACTCATACTCTATACTCCCCATCAAGCCAAACAGGTCTTTTAATGGTTGGAATAATGAACGCAATTTCATCTGGTCTGCTCGTATTCGCCGGCCTTGTAGAACTCCTCGCAGAAGACTTTCTCAGCGATGAGAGTTGGCTTGTGTTAACAGGGAGGAAGCGAATTATAGCGTGCATATATGTTATGGCTGGGGCATTCGGGATGGCTTTTGTGGGAGCTTTTGCTTGAGGAATCCTTGTTTTCTTTCCCTTCAACGCTCGTTTCTCCTGGGGATTTTCCTATTTGTTCACGATATTACGCCGAGTAACGGTGATTCTTGATTGGTTTGACTAGTTTGGGTTAAATCTCTTTAGTCACGCGCAGGGCAGTACAGGTATTTGGATCATAGGAAAATAAAAGCAAAGGATTTATGTACAGCAAAGCAAAACAAAGTGAGGGAAATCTTTAACGCACCCGCGCGGTAATTTGGCTTGCTGGGGAAATTTCCCGTGCTTCATTGACTATCATTATCATCATCGAATGCCGTACGGCTTGTACGAACCGATTAGCCAGCTGTCTGTCTCTTACCTCGAGGAAACTGCTGATCCTTCATGACTGTCTATCTGCCTGTCTTTCTACTCTTCGGGCGGTATCCTATCTAACGTTCCTGTGAACAAGGTTGGATGGGTAATCGAGCGCAGGGGAATCCCGTCGAATGATCATCGCTTGCATCGGTGATATCATAGTTAAAACGGAGCTGGAGAGAGAATGGGACCAATTTACCGCACAAACCCTTTTGATTCGCTCTCTCCATTAGGTCGCTAATCTTGGGATTCAGAGACAAAAGTTCTTAAGAAGGATTAGTGCTTTCCTGACATGATAGACCAGAGTCATTTGGCTGTTCGCAAGGGTTATTCTATTACAGGTACTGTATAGGTCGCGAGGTGTTTTAGGCATCTGTGACTTTTTCTCTAAACGATCCAGACAGCAACCCCTCTGAGTCTAAATACTGCCCTCTTCTGTAAATATCACCGCCGTCGGTGAATATACTACTACCTCTTCTACAGCCTCCGGTCGAAAAGATCGGGAAGCGGGTATAGGGCTTTGATTGGAGCATTCAGTGTGCTCGAACCAATTGAGCAACCGTGTTTCTGACTTTTAATTTTCACATTTCCCGATTTTTTCCACAGGAGGCTGTATATACACCACCACCTCCCTAGATATTGAGCGATTACCTTGAAGTAATCTTCCTGGGCTGCTAGTGCATATAGGAGTTTCCCCACTGGTTCTAGATGGGTTGTGCAACCGAAGTGGGTATTTGGTTGGATTGTTTTAAGTATTTTTTTAAAGGTAATTGTTGGATATTATCATATTACTATAAAAATTCTTTATAATTCACTAGTCTATTCTCGCTTTGCCTCAAATATTCTCGTAGATCGTGACATCTAGCCTGGGATAGGTTTTAGCATAGCGAGTTAACAGAAAATTGTTAATAAAGCCAGTCTGATGGGATCCAACACAACCAATGACCCGGGCAATAAGTTGCCATCATGCCAGGAATGGGCTCTTAATCCCTCTCAAGAACCTTTGTCTCCGAAACCCGGGATTCTTAGAGACCAAAGAGAGGATATAAGCTCGCAAGGGTTTCTGCAGTGGTCTGCGTGCCGTCGACATGATGGGGAAATATATAATCCAGTAGGGGGGTAGCCCCTAGCTAGTCATAGTATCTCACTCGATATATTTCTGAAAATTTGGCCAAGTGGGGGGGGTGTAAAGAAGAGAAGTTTTCTACCTGGCCTACCAAGCTGCAGGGCCAGATGTGATGTCAGAATTGTGACTGATCGGACTAGAGGCTGCTGTAGGACCGGATACTTGGGTAGAGACGGATTGGGGGGAAGGGTGGTATCGGAGGGTGGCTCTATGGATGGACCTTGCTTTGCGTGTTGGGTTGTTCAGATGCGCTTTTTTTATTGGGGGGGGGGTATTTTACTGACATCACCTGCAAGTGAAGGGTATTTATCTCCGCTCTGGTCACGTATTTGGGTATCGCGGCTTGGGAGCACGATGGCAGGAGTTACAGTTAGATTTTGTTGCTTATGGTATCGTACTGCTGGAGTCACTGGAAGTGCCGTGGTGTGCGTATCATACGGTTTGGAGAGACCTGCTTTGGAAAGAGTGAGTAAGGGCGTTCCGTCTCATCTATATACTAGTGGTGTCAAAGACAAGTTTTTATCTTTTTCCCTCCCTTATTTCCTTCCTTACCTTCACAGACACGCACACGGGAGAACTACGACAGTGCATGATAGGGCGTGGTGCGGGAGGGATAGGAATATGATATGGTAGGAAATTGTGCATTACGGGTAGTCTACTGCTGGAATACTCGAGTACCGGGCGAGCTGGTACGGATGGAGCACAAAGTGCCTGCCCGCCCGCTGCCCGATGATATTCGAATTTTGGGAATAGGCAGGACGTATGATCATGATATTTGTTCGGGCTGGATGAGCTCGAGCTGGTTCACTTCCTTTTAGAGTGAGGGATCGGGTGCTGTTGTGTTACTTGGGTGCACTCGAGTATTCATCTGAAAGCAGGGGGTGCTCGTGGGGGCGGAGATTCCTGTGCTGTGAGAGTATTGCCCCTCGGTGCCTGGCTTGGTATGGGTGTTGACGGACTGGTCGTGGGGGCGGGAGATAGCACTGGCCACAATCTGGATCGGTTGCCATAGGGGGTGGGGATGGGTGGTAGGAATTTTGCTGTCGGGCAGCGGCGAGCGTTGGGTTGGCTGTTGGTCAACTATCAAAGGAGGAAGGACATACCGTAAGAACTTTAATTGAACCTCGCGCAAAGAGGTTAATTTAAGGTATGGTGCTCGGAAATTATGGTATCAGGGAAAACTTGTCAAATTTTGTAGTTGTATTGGATTTTCAGACAATGCTTTGGCCCATGAAGCTCAACATCATCGTGTAGAGTTTGTTGATAGATGAAATTAAAACAATTCAATCTAGTCTAGTTTAATCAAGCTTAATCTAATCCAGTTTAATTTGTTCCAATCTGATTCAATTAGGCAAAATGCTATTAAAAGTAGAGAATTCTCATTGAGCCTATTCTGTTGGTTATAAACTTCAAATTCTATCATATTAGACAAGACTAAAATGAGTATACTTATAGGACCTACTCAACTTTAAATACTAATATATTCAGAAATAGCAACACATTTTAAGATTCCCGAGACAGACTATTATGAGGGAAAAGGAAGAAACGAGAGGAAAGGTTTAGGATCAAACTTGGAAGCAATATAGAGTGGGTGGTAGAGGTCAGGAATGAAAGTATGAAAGAGTTGAATTGTGGTCTGCATGACAAGTTCCAATATTATTGAGTACTAGGGGCTGTTGTAAGATGTAAATGATTTTTCCATATTAGTAAACAGCTATATGTTGAATAATATCTGATATGCAATATACCTTGTGTAATATGTTCGTTAATTGCTAATCATGTTGCTTAGTACAATAGTTGACAGGTGGCTTACTCTTCCTAAGAGAAAGCCAGAGCTGCGAACTAAAGAAGACTACAGGTGTATACAGGGAAAACTTATAAAAGTAACTGTTCAACCAAGTATATTGAAATACTGTCTGCCAAAGTCTACCTGTTCTATTGTGGAATCAAGCAGTCTTTAAATACACAAATCTGTTTATGCCTACCATGAATGAAACCAATCAAAAGTATGAAATAATACTTCATAATAAAACAACTTAAGTATTAAATGATACTTAAAACAAAACATAAAACTAGATAAGTATCAGATAATACTTAAAACATAAGATAAAATATATTAAGTATCAAGTGATACTTAAACCAAAATATAAAACAAAATAAGTATCAAGAGATACTTAAAATATAAAATAAAATATATTAAGTATTGAGCGATACTTAAAACATAAAACAGAATATATTAAGTATCAAGTAATACTTAAAACAAAACATAAAATAAAATAAGTATCAAGCGATACTTAAAACAACAAAATCCTTAAATGAGTACCCGTACTGGTTACACCTTGTTCTGATTCTCTAATAATTAGTTCTATACCTTCTTCAGCTTGTACCAAATATCTATCTTCATTGTTATGAATACAGCAGCCTAGCTTTCCAATAATTTTAGTAAAGTAATTTATTACTAGACATACTTGAATTAGAAAAACTATCAAATTTGCCCTGAGGATGAGTTTAGCTAAAGTGATCCTCCAGCCTTTATAGGCTACTCTAGGTTCTACAATATTGCAAATATAGATTAGACTCTACTTTTTTTTTAAGTATTTAAAAAGGAAAATGTACAATAAAAAGAACAATAAAATAGTCTGAGTACAAAGCTCCTAGTCAAGCTGGAATACGCATCAGGTTATAATTCAGGTAATACTCTTCGCTGATCGGATACTACATGTTGTAATGAAGGCTCCCTTGAGGAAGATGGATCCTGAGGTTCTGACTGCACCGAGATAAATTCTTCTGGAAACCGAATATAATAACATTTCAAAATCTTAGCAGTAGAGTTTGAAGAAACAAAGTGGTAAAACTTAATATCATTAAGCTACAGCTTTACTCAATTAAGTCCAGATCTCGAGAGGTAGTTGATTGTCAAAATAGAGAACTTACATATACTTAAGTAGATTACATTTACTGCCAGTTGCATTCTATTACTACTTTGTATTCACAAGCACCCAACTCCCTTGGGCTGTCTTGCTAACCACCATGGGTTGGACTAAAGATTCTCTGCAGTGAACTAGACTACTTTGTAGTTTGCTAACATCCACTCAACAGAAGTGTTTTAGCCGCTTAATCTACAATGCAAGAGCAGGAGTAAAAACCTTTCTTATCATGGACATGTCAGTGGTGAGCTGTCATATCTCAGTGGATACAATACCAACTATGGAACTTTCTACGCATATACACTGAGTCTTCTACAAGCATGTACAGCTCTTGAATATCTATTCGGTTCTACTCTATTTTATATTATTCTAGATGATGGCTATATAACTTCCCTGGCAGACCCCTTCGGAGGTTGACTGCCAATAGGCACTACACATAGCCAACCTTCCTAGAAGTAGGTCTTATCATCATCTTAGGCTAGTGTTTTAGAGTCCGTAACAATTCTCTAATACTATTACACTTTCGGGGCAACAGACTTCAGTTACCTCGCTTATAGGCCTCAGGTGATTTCACATACTACTTCTAAGGTCAAAGTGGTATTACTCTGTCAGTTTTCGTCCGTTTTGCATGAAACCATCTGGAGACCATTCTCCAGGATCTCCTCTACCCCTCATATATCTGACAGACAGCCTCCGGTGGACTGGACAGTGTGGGTGTATATGGTATTACAGGAGTATCTTTACTTGTAGACTTTTACTAGACTTGCAGCAACTCTCCAAGCTGTAGCCCATGATGCCAGGGACTTATAATAGGG